TTTATTTAGAGATTTTTAATACATACATTTACTACTACCATTTTAAACAAATACTTTAGCATTATGGTTGGATATGTACCTAAACTCAAAGGTCACATATAAAAATACCTTCTCTTCAGCATTAAAATATATGTATAGTGGAGTGTGTGGAATGTAAACCTGGATTATTTCAAACTCATGCATAGCAGACATAATATCCTACTTATAAAAAAGGTAAACCTTCCTACTTTGAAGACAGTGAAAACATATCAATATAAATTGGCTTTTATCCTCAAGAATAAAGTATATTCCTAAGTAAAATTAATTACTGAAATCCTCAACAAAGAGATCTTTTGGTTCGCCACAAATTTTTGATACAGTGACTCTACTGATAATCATGTAGGTTTAAAATTCTCTTTCTCAATACACACATATACACACATGTACACACTCACACATCTCAAAAAAAAACTGAAACAGAGAAAAAAAAATCAATGTATAAATCAGCAGTAGGTCTTATGAACTAAGTAAGCCATAAAGAAATACAATCCACTAATTGAAAGCAATGATTTTCAGCATCCCTAGAGATAAGGATAGAATGAAAAAAAAAAGATTGAAAGTTTACACTTAAAAAGTTGTTTGCACTATATTTTTTTCAGCAATAAATGAGGGGAGGGCAAACCAAATAGCTTAGTAGATTAAAGTGCCTGCTTAGGCAGATGCAGGGGCCAGGGAGTTAAATCCCTGGGCCTGCCATGCCGGCCCCACCCCCGGGGTGAGCTGAGATAGCTATTGAGACTGGGTGCCACGGCACACGTCTGTAATCCCAGCACTTGGGAAGCTATAAACAGGAGGATCACTACGAGTCCAATCTAGACAGTGACACCCTGTAGACCCTGTCTTAACTACGAAAGAAAGAAAGAAAGAAAACCAAAATGCCCCTCTTGAAATAAGAAAGATCCACAAAATAGATATTATGCAGATTTGTCCTATGAAGTGAAACAACTTGAAGGGAAAAGATTTACAGCATTAAGTAAGAATGAGATCACCCACAAACTTGTGAAAGCAATTTTAAGTTCATCATATTGACCCTTCTTAAAAGATCTGTTAACAACTTTTGCTGAAACTTGGCTCAGCTGTGGCTGCTTCTCCCACCAACATACAAGTCAGGCGGTCCCACCACAGTTACAGAGATCTGGTAAGCCCTGCGCCATCTCCTTCCCCCACCATTACTGGAGTTCAGCTGAGAAGTGACCACTTCTTCCACCACCACCATTACCATAGCTGTGCTGAGCTGTTGCTGCCTGTCCCACCAGTAGCTGGAGCCTTGGTGAGCCCTAGCCTGCAAACCACCCCCTACAAAGACACAGCTTATCAGTGCATTGGTCTACCTTCATCACCATCAGATTCATCCACTGACATGGAAGTGACACTGAACCCCACACAGCAGGAACTTTGGTGAGCCTATCACATCCTCTCACTTTCATGGGAGCCTTCTTCACTACAACATGCACCCATACCATTGCTTCAGAGTCATGATGAACACTGGGAAACTGAAAAATGTCAGAATGAAGGGTAAAAGGCAATCTCAGAACACTAGCCCACTCTAAACAAGTCAATGAGACAAGGTCATAGAGGAACTCAGAAGCCACATACCTGAAATTTATGGAAGATAGCAACTGAAGCAAATAATCAGCTCCATCAGGCTATGGAAGAAATCAGATCAGAAATAATATTCCAGGTAAACAAAAAAGAAATGACAACAATTATGAAAGAATTGCTCAGCACATCTAAAGAAGACATAAATTTAAAAAATGAGAATAGGAAAATGAACAAACACTGAATGAACAATTCAGAAAAGAATCAGAATGCATGAAATAGATTCAAAGAGATATCCAGAACATTAAGGATTCCATTGAAAGATAGCAAAACTGCTTGAATGAAACTGAAGATAAAATTTCAGATCTTAAAGATAGCATTGCAGGTAGTGAACATGATCACCTAAAATTAACAAGAAACAAGGATATAACAATACAACAGCTGCATGATGACACAAATAAAAACAACATAAGTTAACAGTTATCGATGAAAAGCTGTGATCATCATTAATGACATAAAAAACTGTGCACCGAAGTAGTGGCAGAAAATTTCCCAGCCAAAGGAAAAGAATATCACATAAATAAGTGAGGCATATAGAATTTTAGTTAACCAGAAGCAAAATAAATCTACATGCAGACACATAATAAACAAGATCTCAAAAGTTCAGAAAAAGAAAGACTGTTAAATGTAGTTAGAGAGCATAAACAAATCACTTATAATGGAAAATCCATCAGAACCACAGCAGATTTCTCAATAAAAAAATATCAAATCAGACCCAGTGCTAGCCCAGGTCCGGTGAGTGTGCGGAGAGTTTCC